AAAATAAAGCTAGTTCAATCAGAAGTGAATTAAATGGTGAAAATCCGATCTTAGCAATTCACCCTTCTGCTAATTCTCATGTTTCTTTTAGTGAAATAGTAAAAAGTCCTTATGTAAAAACAATTGAGGTGCCGTGCGAATATGAAGATAAAATTAGAATGGTTCCATTTCCCAACCGTAGCACTTGTCGGCATGCTGCTTCTAGTTATGTACCAGTAAATATTAAAGAAAAAATTCCTAATAAAAATCCTGAAAATTATTTAAAACCTTTGGATGTAGTGTGAGTAAAGAAAATTTTTATGGTAGTTCATTTTTATCATGTTGGGATTTATTTGGGTAATGGTGAAGTTTGCCACATTGCTGGTGGCAAAGACGATGGAAGAGGAATTAGAAATTGTAGTTGAGAAACATTTGTTAAAGGTTGTGTTGATGGAGAAGTATTTAGCTACCATTCTATTATTCCTTTTAAAAATTACGAAACTATAACTCGGCAGATTTCATGGGTAATTAATAATCAATGACGTGAAAACGATTATTGTTTAGCTGGTCAAAACTGCGAACATGCTACTAATATGATTGCTTACGGTATTGAATGGTCAAAACAAGTAGCAGAGAAGCCAAACCTAGCCGAGTTCGCTGGTAGAAAATATGCCGCTAATAAAAGCAAAAGTGGTTTGTTCATCCTTAAAGATGAAATTAAAAGAGCAAATAGTCGGTTGGGTGAACTGGATAACCAAAAGGCCAAAGAGATAAAAGACAAATACGAGGCACGAATTGAAGTAAGTGGAGATTGATTGTAAAGTAATGTAGCATGAACAATGAATTAGCAAAATTTCTTTCCCTTGTTTTTCTCACCTTTTTCGCTTCTTTAATTTCTTTAATCATCAGGGTTATTTTTCTTTTTTTTAGTCGAAAAAAAGTTTACCGGAGAGATTGTTTTTTAATTCTTCCATTTTGTTATGTCATTCATTTTTTATTGGCCTATAACGGTTTCATGAGGTTAAATTGTGTGATGGGAATATTTTTGGTTTATTCCTCCTCTGTTTCACTAGGAATTTGATTGATTATCAACTTGTTCACTTGTCTTTTTCGCTTTTTTTAAAGTAATCTTAATGTTTGTAGGTCAGTTCCAGGCCAGGATTGAAGTGTCGCCAAAACAAGATTGTAAAATAATGTAGTTATGTATTCTTCCGGACTTGTAAAGTTAATTGAAACTATCTGAGGCACTTATTGACTTTTAGTGGCTTTTTTATCTATTAGGTTAGTATTTTTATTTTTACAGCGTAAATTTTACTGACTAGACTTGTTTTTGTTCCTTCCTTTGCTATACGTTATTTATGTTACCTTATGACGCTCCTTATGGAACTGCAAATTATTTGAAAAAATAAATATTAGTGCTGATGGTTTTTTATGATTTAGTTATTCCTCTTTGTTTTCAATATTTCTTTTCCTTTTAGCACTCTTTTTTTCGAGCGACAAAGGAGATGAAGATAAAAGGAAATAATCAGGGAAATTTAAGATGAACATTAATAACTGTTGAATAACGTAACATGAAGTTAGGAAATTTGATTTTGTGAATAGTAATAATTCTTATCCTTTTAGCGATAGTATTTGTTTTTATTTTATTGAATGCCCCTCCTAAATAGATAAATAGAACTGAATTCAGTAGACAGAAAAAAGTCGATATTTACAAGAAATCCCTACTAAACAAGAATGTATGAGGTAAAATCTTAATATTCTTGTTTATTTCAACTTTCCCATTTTTTATTTATTTTTAGTGGTTGGTAGTATATTGAGAGTTTAAAAGATTTAAAAAAAATTAATAAACCAGTGAAATTAATAACCGAAGTCAAAGAAAGAATAAAAGAACTTATTACTCTATTAAACCAGTGAAATTATGAATATTATATTCTCAATCAACCGAGCGTAAAAGATGAGGTTTATGATCAACATTTAAAAGAATTGCAAATTTTAGAAAAAGAATATAATTTTATCCTTCCTAATTCACCCACCCAAAAAGCGGGTCATCCAGCCAGTCCTAAATTTCATCCGGTGGTGCGTCAAAATCCTATGCTGAGTTTAGATAGCGTGGATAGTTATGAAGGATTACTCAAATTTGATGAAAGGGTTAAAAAACTACTGAAAACTGACCAAGAAATAGAATATGTTTGCGAATGAAAAATCGATGGTCTGTCAATCAGTCTTGTTTACCAAAATCATCAACTAATTCAAGTTAGCACGCGAGGAGATGGTAATATTGGCGAAGATGTAACTTTCAACAAAGACTTAATAAAAAATATTCCTTTTTTTCTATCCACGACCGCCAATTGTGAGGTACGAGGAGAAATTTATATGGAAAAAGGTGAATTTTTTCGTTTGAATAAAGAATTAGAAAAAAATGATAGTAAATTACTCGCTAATCCCCGTAATTCCGCCTCCGGTAGTTTAAGAACTCTTGTTCCGCTCCAAAACAGAAAGTTACACTTTTTTGCTTACCAGTTATTTAACTCCGCCCTAGATAGCCAGTTCACTTGTCTAAGAGAATTAGAAAAACTAGGGTTTGCAGTCAGCCCCGACTATCAATCATGCAAAGGAATCGAGAAAACTAAAGAATTTATCCAAAAGCATGAACCAAAAAGATTAAATTTAGATTTTGAAAGCGATGGAATCGTCGTGAAAGTAAACAATTATGATTTTTATCCATCATTAGGACAAACCAGCCGTTTTCCTCGCTGAGCTATCGCCTATAAATTCCTCGCCTTGTCTACTACTAGCCAAATAGAAAAAATTTATGTAGAAGTAAGTCGCAATGGGCGAATAACCTACGTTGCTGAAATAAAACCAGTAACATTACAGGGAAGCACAATCAGCAAAGTAACCCTACACAACTATTCATTTATTCGCAATTTAAAACTAAATATCGGCGATAAAGTAGCAATAAAAAAAGCCGGTGATGTTATTCCCCAAATAATTCAACTAATCAAACTAACAGAGAATATTTGGTTGCCACCTAACGCTTGTCCTTCTTGCAACTCAACCCTTAAGTGAAATTCGACTAATATCTATCAAATATGCGACAATAACTACTGCTCTCAACGAATTATTAATCTTCTCGCCCATTTTGCTTCCAAATCTGGTCTAGATATTAAAGGACTTAGCCAAAAAAATATTGAAAAACTTTATCAAAACAGCCTCATAAAAAAACCAATTGACTTTTATCAATTAGACCAAAAAAGAGAAGAATTACTAAAACTTGAAGGTTTTCAAAAAAAAAGCATTGATAATATTTTATCTTCGATCGAAAATTCCAAAAAAAAACCTTTAACTAATTTATTAATAGCTTTAGGAATTCCACTACTAAGTTCGGTTAAAGCCAAAAAGTTAAGTATTTTTTATCCTAATTTAGCAAGTATTCGCACTATAATAGAAAACAATGAATGAGAAAAAATTAGAGAATTATTAGGAGAAGAAACCCAAAAGGAAATGAAAAATTACTTTCAAATTCCAGAAAATTTCCAACTGCTTAAAGAATTAGAAAAAATTTGAGGAAACTAACAAAAGAAATTTAAAACTTAATCTTTTTACACTTTTTCTTGGATTTTTTACGACCCTTTCTTCCTTCTACTAAAAACCAAATCAGTAGGACAAAGAGAAGTAAGAACAATAATCACAATAACGCCTCTTGCCAAGAAAGGTCAGAATCAATCCCTCCGCTACCTCAGCCTCTTCCTTGACCCGCTGGTATAAATTTATTGCCAAACACTTTACCGTTTCCTTAGTTTTATTTTTATTGTTTTTTGGGTTTGCTTTTTTTAAAGGTATTAGAAAAATTGCTTGTAATATCCTTTCATAAAAGGGGGTATGAAGATAATCAGAGTGAAAATTCATAATACCACAAATAAAGCTAGTAATGAATATAACTTTCACCGAGTATTTTTTTTAATCTTTTGACTAAAACTTTCATCTGTAAACAAAGAAAAGAAAAGAGAAACAGTAATATAAAAGGAAACGCGAAAAAGCAAATGAAAATGACAACCATAGTATTCTATTAAATAACACAAATAATTTGCTAAAAAAGAACAAAAAGAAAATTATTCCACAACTCATCATTTCCCTTAGCTCTTTATTTTTTTAACTCTATTTTATTTTTAACAAAAAAGCAATATACGAGTATAAGAGCGTATTTTTATTAGTTATTTACAAAGCAAGCACAAAGATTTTTTGTGCGTGCCTTGTATTCTTAATCCTTTTTAATTTATTCTATTCTAATTTTCCTTCCTTTACTTTCTTCGGATTTAGGAACAGTAACAGTTAAAACCCCCTCTTTATAATCAGCTTTAATATTTTGACTATTAACGGTCCGAGGTAAATTGTATGTTCTAGTAAAAGATCCATAACTAATTTCAGAAAAATGATATTTCTTATTAGTTGTTTCTTTTTCTTCTTCTTTTTCGGCATGAATTCGTAATTGGTTATTGACTAATTCAATATCAATTTTCTCCTTAGGAATTCCCGGTAACTCAGCTCTAACATAATAATTATTTTGATCCTCTTGCAATTCACTGCGAAAAGGAGCGATTTCTCAATTTTCTTCCTCAAAAGGAGAAAAAAGGAAATTATCTAAAATATTTCGGGTTCAGTTTCTTTTCAATGGGTTATTTTTTATTACTTTGTTGTCTCTATTCATAATAATTTAATGTTAAAAAATTCTTGTTTGTTTTACTTTAAATAAATCTTTAACTGCTTCTTCTAACTCTTCTTCATTTTTGTTCCTTAAACTTCATAAACCTGCTCGTAATATTTCACTTTTCGAGGGATAAAATCCTTTTTTATTTAACTTATCTTTCAAACTTCCCATTAATTCTGCTTCCTCATTAGACAAAGTGATAGAGGTTTTAGTTGCCGCCAAATGGGAGCCTACAATTTTAGCAGCCTTTTTTGACCCTTCTTTGGTTTTTTGTCAAGCAGAACTGTGGCGAACTTCATCAATTTTTTCTTTACCTTCTTGAACTACCTCCTTAGTTTTCTGATAACCTTCTTTTGCATTTTCTTTAGATTTTTTGCCAAAATTTTCTTTTTCGTTCATATTGATTTTTCTTGTTTATTTTATTAGATGTAACCTTCATAACATTTTTTGCAAATACCTTTTCTAGTTTAGGCATTCATATAGTATTCGTGTTTACATTTTTTGCAACGGAAATAGAAAATCCTTTTAACTTTTTACCTTTTTTTGGTAATATTAATTTGAGGGAAGAATAATCTTCCCTCAGTTGACTAATTCCGTTGATAGATTTTTACTGTCCTATCATCCACTCACTACAATTAGATGGCTCTTTCTTCTACAATTCTGTTTCCCTCACCGTGAACTCAAACATGAGCGGCTTTTTCGCCTCCTTCGTGAGCCCATTTTTTAATTTGTTCTCACGCTTGCTCTTGAGAAGAAAAAGAGTTCCTTTTACCATCGTGCACATCAACTGCGTATCATTGTCCATCTTTATGAAGTGTAATGTGGTAAAAATTAGATTTTTCACTTGCTTGTCCTTTATTTGTGTATGCCATAATTCTAAAAATTTATTTTGCTAGGTCTTACCTCCCTAGCCTGGTACCAGAATTAACGAGGGACTGCCCCGTCTAACCGTTCTGGCTCAGAACCTTACTGATTTGTTTTTGTTTGCTAAGCCAAGTAAGGGATTTACTCTTTTGCTTACTCAGAATTAAATTGGGGACTATTCTTTTAGCCCTAGTATTACGTAACTAATTCTTTTCTGAAAAAAAGTTTTTGCTTAGACCAATTCTTTTTTAATTGCTTAAAAAGAAGTATTTTTATTATACTTTCTTTTGCTTTTAAGTTCTAATAGTGGAATTGGTAAGAAATCTCCGATATTAAATCAGTGAATTTATTAAGGTAATAAATCCAATTAGAACTTAAACTTTGCCCTGTTTTACTTCCGGTAAAGTTCATCTAGTCATTCTTGCTAGCCAAAATAACTTACTATGAAAGTGTGAAGTCATTTTTTACTTACTTATTATCTAGAATTATAAGTCAGAAGGATAAATAAGAACCTTCGTGATAATCTTTTACTGATACTTTTTCAACATATATTAAATTATATAATGTTTTTTTTTTTTTTTTTTTGCTGAAAAAGGGTAAAAAATAGTAGAAAATCATCCTTCATTTTTTTCTGGGCATTAAGAAAAATTACCCTTGAAGAATTTTTTAAATTAATTAATAACCTTAAAATTTTTAACTGATTTAAAATTTCAACTTGTAGCAAAAAGGAAAAATTGACACATTAGTAGCCTTATTAACTTTGCAATACTGATGATAATTCAACTACCGAATTTTTTTCTCCCGAAGGTTAACCAAGAAATGGTTATTTTTGAAACTATTTTAGATACTTTTATCAAACCTTTTTTAGTTTCTAGCGAAAGTTGATATTTTTGGTAAACAAGAAGTATTTTTAATTTCCTTTCTCAATATTTTTTAGAATATTTCGACTTGTTCCTTTTGTTTTGTTTTGTCTTCTCTTTTTATCCATGACCAAATCTTTTTGCGGTAAAAAAATATCAAAGCGGCGATTACTCCAATTACTACACACGCCAAAGTTATTTTGCCGAAAGTTCAAAATGGTTTCGGTGATTTCGAAGGAGAAGAAAAAGTTATTACTTCATCAACTCTCCTAGGCAAATTAAAATTAGGTACTAATGTAATATTTTCGATCTGAACTTCAACGTCTTGAATAGATGGAGCACCTTTTTTTCTTATTTTTATCACAATCTCATCTTTTTGGGTGCCATCACTATTATCAATTGGGAATTTTACTATATTACACTCTAATTCATCATTACCACTTTCATTGTTGATTTCTTCCTTGTGAACAACGTGTGATTTTGCAGAATTAGCGAGTAATTTTTCACAAAGGTGTTTAGTGAGAGCTTCTTTTTTATTATGTAGGTATGCAGCCTCTGAACCACGTGCCTTTAAATTATATTGAGCTATTAACTCGTCATCCTCAATTCTTGTGTTTGTTTTTTCAACAAAAAAATCTATAAAAACCTCAACTTTATTCTTCGCACGCTCCCTAGTCAATTCCGAAAAATTTTTTATAGGGATATTTTTTGAATCTTTAATTGTTATCCTTACTTCTGGAACTGGATTAATTTTCTCATCTTTTATTCACAAAGAATTTACAGAACTATCTGCAGAAATAACATTGGGTTTTTTGGCCATATCTTTTTTCTAGTTTCTTTTCTTTTTTTCGAAATACAACCCCTTTCGATACTTACGCAAAGCGAAAGAAGATAATTTCTTAAAAAAAAGGAAAGAACTTTCGGAAGTTTTTTCTTTATTAATTTTTATTCTAATCATTAATATTATTTTACTGGCGCCTCCGACGAGAATCGAACTCGCGATACTTCCGTGACAGGGAGGCGTTTTACCACTATACTACGGAGGCAAATGGTACCCAGAGTCGGACTCGAACCGACAAGGACATGTGTCCATGGGATCTTAAGTCCCACGCGTCTACCAATTCCGCTGAATCTGGGCTTTTTTGGCAGAGGTGGCAGGACTTGAACCCACAACAATCGGATCTGAAGGCCGATGTTCTACCAATTGAACTACACCTCCACACTTAAAAGCTGAGGGAATTTTTTGGAAATCCCTACAATTAATTAACACTTAATAATTACTACTAAAAAACTTTTGGTGACCCGTACGGGAATCAAACCCGTCGTGCATGCGTGAAAGGCATGTGTGTTAATCGCTTCACCAACGGGCCCTTTACTAATAAGAATTTATAAATTCTTTCAATTGGTAAACGTTCATACTCCCGCTTGCTTTTTTTATCATTTTGCCGTTGTAAAAAAGAAAGAGGGTAGGCACTGAACTAACCGCAAATTCCGGTTTTTGTGCCAATTCCCTAAATTTTTCTGCATCAACTTCTAAAACTAATAAATCTTTTCTCTCTTTCAGTAAAACTTCTAAGTTTTTTTGCAATTCTCGGCAAGGAGGACATCACGTAGTAAAAAATTTTACTAACACCGCCTTATCTTTGTTATTGTGAAGGAAGAGGTTTATTTCTTCCTCCTTTTCCAACCTTTTCAAAATATTTAACTAATATTTAGAGAGAGAGAGAGAGAGTATAATATTTTTAGATATTTTCCTCTTCTTCCTCCCTATTATAACTAGTTCATCAGTAATAACCACCTACTATAATTCCTATTAATGCAAACGCTATACCTCCTCATGCATAATAATTAAGTCCTCATATATCACCTCCGGTGTTTACATCAAGTTCTTTCTCTAATTTAAAATTACTGCTGTCATTTTTTACTTCGGTGATTTTGATACTATCTCAAAAATAACCTTTATGAAATTTACCAACTAATTCAACATCTTTTTCTGTATCTGTATCACTATCACTTTTTTTGGGTGCTTTTATTTTTCCTTTAAATGTACCTTCTGGTAAAGCTGCATCATGTTCTAAATCAACATCCTCTTCCTTATTTTCTATTGTAATTTTGTACTCCTTTTCCTTTTTAAATTCATAGCCATCAATTGTTTCATCTTTAGCAAATTTAATATTAAGATCTTTTCGGTCTTTAATTTTTACATTTCTTTTAGTCATATATTTTTATATATTATATATTTTATAATGTTTACTTATGGTTATGGAGCGAATAAGGGGAATCGAACCCCCATCAGTAGCTTGGAAGGCTACAGCTCTACCATTGAGCTATATTCGCAACGGACTTATTTTATTAGCTATTAATCAGGCTCCTTTTAACAATCTCATTAACCTTTTACAATGGTGGTCCAGGGCAGGATCGAACTGCCGACCTTCTGATCTTCAGTCAGACGCTCTAACCAACTGAGCTACCAGACCAACTTAGTTTTGTCAAACCGCAATTACTCGAATATTACCAGAATAATCAGGAAAAACAGACACTTTACCTCGGGGAAAATAATTTATTACTAATTTTATAATTGTTTCAACTTGTTGATGGCCAATTTCAACTACTAATAAAAATTTCTTGGTCGAGAAAAAACCAACTTGTCGGAAAATTTCTTGGTAAAAGTAATAGCCATTATTCTTTGCTACCAAAGCTTTTCGCGGCTGCTTTTTAACTGAAACTGCAAGGTCTTTATATTCCGTGGCACTTATATAAGGAGGATTAGAAACAATAATATTAAATTTTTCCTCCTTTGGAATGTTGGCAAATAAATTACTTGAAAAAAATTTAATATTTTTGATTTGATAAGCAGCAGCGTTAATCTTTGCCACTTTTAAAGCATTTTTACTGCTATCAATACCTGTTAAACTTCAGTTTGGTTTATTCTTAGCCAAAGAAATCACAATATTACCACAACCAGTTCCAATATCAAGCACTTTTAATTTTTGCTTATTTTTTCAATATTTTTCAGCATATTCTAAGGTTCTTTCTACTAATATCTCGGTATCTTTTTGGGGAATAAAAATTCCTTTTTTAATATATAAAATTAATCCATAAAAAAAAGTTTGCTTAGTTAAATAAGGAACTGAATAATTTTCCTTTAAATACTTATCTAAATTATGGCAAATTGCTGTATAATTAGTAAAATTTAGCAACTTATAAGAAAAATTTGATCAAAAACGTTCTGGGTTAGTTTGGCAAAGAGCAATTATATCATTTTTTGTCTTTTCCACCACAATATTTTCTC